CCTGTTTTCCAAGATCTCTCTCTTCAGACTCAGCTACATTGAAAATACACAAAGAAGCTTTTAAGGGAACGCCTTACGTTCCTACTGTTTATTCATATTTTCTCCCAGAGACCCATTTCTTCTCCCAGAGTGGAAATTTTCTCTATTTCCTTATATTGATACCCCACTGGTAAGATAACCTCTAAGGAATATTAGATGTTAACATGTTAATGATTGTGGCTGATTTTTTAAATTAACTTTATTGAGATAAAATTTTTATAAAATAAAATGCACTTTTAGGTGTACAATTTGATGAGTTTTGACAAACGTATACGGTCATGTAACAACTACTAAAATCATACTAAACATTTCCATCAGCACCCCCTCCAAGTTCCCATGTTCCCCTTTACGGCCAACTCCCTTTTCCCCACTTCCTGGCCCCTGATCTGTTTATCACTATACTTTTGCTTTTTCTAAAGGTTCATTTAAATAGAGGCATATGATAAGTATCTTATATCTAGCTTATTTCAATTGGTAAAAATACTTTTGAAAAAACTGTCCGTGTTGTTGCTTATAATCCGGAATTCACTTTTTTTTTTTTTTTACAGTTAAGTAGTATTCTATTGTATGGCTATACCACAACTATTTATCAATTTACCAGCTAATAGACATTTGAGTCTTTTCAGTTTTTGTTGTTGTTGTTACTGTTAGCAACACTACATTAAACATTCAAGTACAAGTCTTTGTATAAGCATATGTTCTCATGGGTCATATAGTAAATGTATAACTTTATGTAAAAACTTTATATTGTATTCTGGTGCCTATTCCTGAACAGATTTGCTTCAATTCCTCAGTTAAAAGGAAAAAAAAAAAAAAACCCTCCACCCACAACAATTCAAGTTATTGATGCCACTGAATACAAATCACTGACAGAAGTAAGAATTGATACATCTGTTAATATCAAGCACTCATGGTGCGTGTGTACTCCTGGAGATGAGAAACAGAGCTCACAGTCTGAGGAGGGAACTGTTACACTGTTTCTAAATAAGTAGGACTATCTGTTGGGAGACATAAAGTTAAATATTTTAGACTCCTGCTGTTCAAAGTGGGGTCCATGGACCAACAGTATTGGCATCACCTGGGAACCTGGTAGAACCGCAGAACCGCAGCTTCACACCCTTGATCCACTGCATCAGGTTGGCACTTTAACAAGACCCCCAGGTGATGTGTGTTTGAGAAGTACTGATGGAGATGGTCAGGGAAAGAGAAATTACATCCCAGAGGGTCGGGCCTCGTTTCTGAGAGGAACCGGAAGCTCACCCTAAGTTCTCGCTATCTCTTTTAAAAGTCTTTTGGACTTGACCTTTTCAATTTTCCAATCAACAGAATTTTCTCTGAAGAAACCAGTCAGATTCTCTCTGAAATAAGTGACTTTAAGGCGAACTTCCCTCACATTCTAGGGAATATTTGTGGTTGCCTTGTAAATTCCCTAAATATTTTCATTCCTATATCGTTTTGTCTTATCCTTCCACTTGCTACCACTATCACCACGATACTCCTGGTATTTTGAGAGGAAATTCTCCTCTCATTATATCTACAGGACACACATTTCATTCTGCAGTGCCTAAAATGGTCAAGTGTATCACCAGCCAAACCTTTACAACAGCATTCCCAATTGCTGTTGTTCACAGCTTGAACCCCAGAATTACCTTCAGAGCTGGGAAGAATTCACGGCAGAGAAAGGGCTTATGTCACCATATTATAGAAGAGACAGCCAGGATTTAGAAAAATTTAAAAACCTGCCAAAGGGGATGTCACTCGCAAGTAGCAGAGTCCATGGCGTAAAAGGACATTTTTATGTGGACTTTCCTCCAGCACAATTCCAGTCTCATAGAGGGGGCACAGTAATAACCCACTAGTCTTGGTTTTGTTCTAGTCCTCTCCAACCTCCACGGTTTTCAATTCCCGAACCACCTCCTTCGGGTGGCACTTCACTGACCTGGGTCTCCCTCCTCTAACTTCTCTGCCTACGTTTCCAGGTCTCTTCCTCCTGGGCACACGTAAATGTGGGCCTTCTCCAGCTCTTATCTTAATTAACGCTGGTTCCTAGACCCACGTGCCCATTTCTTCTCAGCTTCTAGCAATGATCTCTAATCTCTCTTTAAGCCAGCCCATGTGCTGCACCTGGAACCAAATACTCGAAGCCCAGCTCTCATTCTGTCACTCAGTTCACAGGGAAACCGTCAGTGGCTCCCCACTGGCTGCCAAATAGACATAAAATTGCTTAGCCTGGCATGTAGGACTTTTGTAATTTGGTCCTTCCATCTTCTCTTCCTCCCCATGCAATTAATTCTTTGCAGGTAGCAGCATAATTCGGTATTAAGGTTGCCTGCATGGCAAGCAGACCCTGGGGGTTTGAGTCTCAGCTCTACAAATCTGACCAGTTCTAGGACCCTGGGAAGTTGCTTAACCTCTTTATAACTCAGTGTCCTAGGCTGTAAGATGGAATAATACCACCCCAAAGAGCTGTTGTAAGTAGTAACTATAAAGCACTTAGGTTAAAAGTCTGGCACGCAGTTAAGGGCTCTCCTAATCTTGTTCTCATTCTTCTTTTAAAACTAATAAAATATTAACTGCCCATATACCAAGCCCTTACTAAAAAATGAACTTTGTAACATCCTGGCAAAGACCCTAAGGAACTAATGACATTGTACTAATAATAGCCTCAGAAAATTAAGCTCCCATTACTATGCTAGCTATTTCTGCACATTCATTTTAACATTTCAAAGTATCCGTGATAGGAAGACTTATTCATCTGCTTCTGAATAAGAAATGAAAGGTTTGATTGATCGAGGTAATAGTAATCCGTCAGCAAAACTCATGTTAGAATTAGACCCTATTTCTGGCTATAGAAGCAACATCTTTTTATGCTTTTCAAATACAACTGCTTTGGAGTTTTAGTAAAAAAACAGACAACCCAGACTTGTAATGAGCATATCAAATTTATGTCTTGAAGCAAGAAACAAAATCAAGAACTCTGCAAATAATTTGAGTGGACAAATGGTTTCATCTTACACCGTTATACTGTTGAGAAGGATTCAAATATTGCATTCTAGATTCAGAAAGAAATAGCAGGGTCAATCAGCAATGTCTAACAAGGTAAGGATGAGGGACTGAGTGTCTCAGCCCTAGAGAACAGGAGCAGAAAATGAAACACTGCAACAGATGGCAATAAAAATAGTTTCAATGTTCTGGACACTTACATAATAGAACTGTTCTAAATATTCTACACATGTAATTCTTTTAATCCTCAAAACCACGCCTTAAGAAAGGTACTATTGTCAGTGCTATCACACAGATGATGACACTAAAGCACAGAGAACGTATAACGTCCTCGAGAATCCCCAGGTGGTAAGTGGGCAGAGCCGGAATTAGAGAGCAGGCACACACCAGAATCCATGCTCTTCACCATTATGCTATAGAGACTCCAAATATTTCCATCTGATGCCAGGAGATGTAAAGACAGGCAGGAAAGACCGTTCTACAAATCACCAAGATGACGACAGCTCAGACTCCATTAAATTAGGATATGTCTGGCAGTAAGAAACCTGCAGATCCAGCCCTACGTCCAGCCCAAGTTTGTGGTGTTCAAGACTTTTGCAAGCCCGGTGGCTCAGGACCCTGGGGAAGGGCTTTGAAACCACTCATGAATAATCTCGGTGTGAACAATGAAGAGCTCAAAAGATTCCAAAGGACCAAATCCCAAAACCACTGTAAATGTCCAAATCTGCCACTACCACTAAAGAAAGCATTATGTTCTCAGTCAATGGGCGTCCTTCACAAAAATGATTTTCAAACAAAACAGTCATGTAACAAATTTGCTAGGAGAATAACTGCTTTCCGATGAGCCTTCACAAATCAGAAGGACTGTAGAGACACACGGGTAAAATGTGGAGCTAATTCCTGAGGGACATTTGAGCTCCAGAGCTTTCTCAGAATAATTTTATGAAGTGGGCTTTTAAATTTGTACATGGGTTCCAGGAATGGTAAGGAGAATATGCCTAAAAATCATAGTAAGGTACTTTAATAAAATTATTATTAATTGTAGCATTTAAGGATGGAGAGGGAACTCGAGTTCATTCTATTGAGAAAACGGCCCAGGGAGGGCAAACATCTTGCCCAGGGTTACACAGCTTATTAACAGTTTCTACAATAGCTGTGATGCATGTAACGATCTAGTTTTAACTTCAGTGTTTTCTTACTCTTTTACTTCCATACTGGCTTAGAGTAGTCCCAAAGAAGATCTATTCACGCTGAGAATAAAAAAAATATTTAAGGGGCATTCAGCTGGCTTGGTCAGAAGAGCATGCAACTCCTGATCTTGGGGTCATGAGTTCTAGCCCCAGATTGGGTGTAGTGATTACTTAAATAAATAAACTTTAAAATAATAATAGAAGTATTTATAAGTTCCATAGCTCAACTTTGGGATATGCTGATGAGTCACTGGTTACATTAAAAGTCTCATGGGCCCTCTGGCCACATGTTGAACTCGTAAGAGATAAATTAATAGGCATTTTAGGGGCATCTGGGTGGCTCAGTCCTCAAGCGTCTGTCTTCGGCTCAGGTCATGATTCCAGGGTCCTGGGATCGAGCCCCATATCGGGCTCCCTGCTGGGCGGGAAGCCTGCTTCTCCCTCTCCCACTCCCCCTGCTTGTGTTCCTGCTCTAGCTCTCTCTCTCTATAATAAATAAATAAAACCTTTAAAAAAAATAAAACTAAATTAATAGGCATTTTAAAGTCATTTGGAAGAGGGGGCAACATTGTATAAGAACATTTCAAGTGTTCAAACTCACATCTAAGAAGTCTGAGACAGTGGTAGTGTTGCCTTGACTTACCTGCACTTTTAGGAATCTGTTTCCTAAAGGCACTCTGCTCCTGAAGGTGAAGGATGTGGTAAGGGTCCCAGAGGCCCGGGAGCCTGTCTGCTAAATTGCCGGAGCCTGTCCACTAGACATAAGCCAAGACAAAGGGTTGGGCTGCTTCTTCACTTGCAAGTGCTGTAAGAAAACACAAAGATAGCATGCTCATTAAGAATGGGCTTCACCGCCCAAGAAAAACTTTAAGCCATTACAAATGTTTAATGAATACATCGTCTTAGTAAACTCACTTCTGACCCCTCCCAAAATGCTTGACAGGGTGATGAAATTACCAAAAACAAAACGAAAATCCAAGAACAAAACCAGCAGCGTGTATTACATTACTAGAGCTCATGACTGGCTATCCACCGGATCCAGATCAGGGTCCTTGGGAAAAAAAAAAAAAAAATTCCAGCTCAATTAATCCAAAACAACCTGGTCATGAAAGAACCATCTGTCTTATTTTTCAGCTTCTCTCAACCAGCGTTATTGTTAAATGCAGAGGTGAGAAAGGAAACTGTTGCTCTGAAAACCCTCCAAGGAAGGGAAAGGAGACAGGGGACTGAGGAGGTCAAGAAGAATGCAAATATCTAGGAGAAAGTGAGGGGAAAGGAAGCATGGAGAAATTACAAGAACAACTAGTTTAAGAATGTGCTGTGGGCTACTTTCTCAAATAAATAAATAAATAAATAAATAAATAAATAAATAATAAATAAATAATAAATAATTAAATAAATAATAAATAAATAAATAAAATTAAAAAAAATCCCAAACTGCTCTTGCTACAGCTTTTCTTACACAAGACTAACCCTGCTACAAAAACAAAACAAAAACTGCACACTCTGCACTTGTGCTAGTAGAAAATGTTATTTAAGAAAAAATTCTTGGGAAACAAATATCAAAAAACCAAACCAACAAAAATATGGCAAATACTTGAAGAAGTCACTATGAACTCTGATGTCCTACAATAAGGAAATACTTGTGTTTAACTATTATGAAAATCATTTAATAACATGAAAAAATATTTAGAATCTACCAAGAAGGAAAAATTTTAAAAGTTGAGAACACGAAAATTATTTCTACGTATAAGATGGATGTGTGTGTGACACATTACCAAAAGACACTAGAAAAAAATGAAATCTACTAAAGTGCTAAGTTGTGGATTACAGGGAATTTTTTTCTTTGAAATTGAAAATTTATAGAGACACCAAAAAAATGCTTATTTCCACTTTTGAAATGCCAAGTACTTGATGCATTTAGAAATTACAAGAAAGGCAAAGTGGTGCTCTCTAGTAGCTATTATTATAATGGAAGTCTCCACTGTGAAGCAGAATTTTGAGCCTAAGGACATTATGGGTAATTATACATTTGTGCCTTAGAATCATTCTCCCTAAATGCAAAGAAAGTGCACCTCCTGGGTTTCTATCATCTTCTGCCCACTAGTACTTATTACCAGCTGAAAATATAGGAGGATTCACAATTTTGAAGTTGGAAGGGTCCTTTAAAATTATCTAATCTGAATACTTGGTAAAGAAACCCCAAACAGTATCATATCATATCAGGAACAGCTGGGGGGATGGGAACTTAAACACCTGGAGAAACTTAAAGCAAGACAGGAAACAAGATCACCCACTCTCATGTTTGAACGACTGTCATGAAGAAGCGGCATTAGCCTGGTTCTGAAGGCTTAGTGGGCTGAGGGGAAAAGGAGGGAGGTTAAGCCAAAACCAGTAAACACAATATTCAAGGAGTTAGGTTTGAGTCAGTAAGAGAGAACTTGCTAATATTTGGGTTGCCTAAAGATAATACAGGAAAGATAATACAGGTTGCATTGTTGGATGAGTCACTTGTTACTAAAGACACTCTGTTCTAAAAACCACTTGGGAGGCTTTGGACAGTAGTGCTTAACAAACTTAAATGTCTATTGGCATCACCCGAGCCTCTTGTTCAACTGTAGATTCTGATTCGGTAGGTCTGGGGTGGGGCCTGAGAATCTGCATTTCTAGCAAGCTGCCAGGAAATGCCAAGGCTGTGAGTCAAGAGTGTCAAGGACGTAACACGACTATAAGCCTTAGAATGTGATTTAAAACAGCGTTTCACCAAAGTGCATACAGTCTTCCAACCATATGACTTCAAAAGTTCTCTCCCACCTGGATTTGGGGGCAGAGGACTAATAAATTGGGTAAGTGGTAATTAGCAGGATTTTGGGAGTCCACACATTCAAAATTCAAAGAAAGTTTGTATCTTGGTATCTTGCAGTACCTGCCCCCATCATACGTTTGAACAATAACTAATTTTGCACAATTCTAAAGAAGAAATGTTTTACTTCCATTAAAAAAAGGATGCTCATACTCCAAGCTTGGCAAATATTTAAAAACAAATAACTACATTGTAAATACGCACTCAGCATTAAAAAATGCAGTTACTTATGATTTCACTAACGACAGTTAACAGAGATGTAGAATGAAAGAAAATATGGCTATAAATTTTTCCCAGTGATCTGTGGCATAAAATTGTGTGTCTCCAAAGGTGGGGAGGGGGTAAGTCTCCCAAGGCTATAATTTGTGGTCTTTTACAATGGAGGGCTTTGCATTATTTACCTAGCCCTGAAATTTCACCTTCCTACCATCCATCAGAGTCATAAAAATTCCTTCAATGTTTTAAAAGTCCCTGTTTCTGGCTCTGCTCCCCTATCTAAAAAACCTGGACTTGAATCAGTTCAAAATCCTATGTGATGTCTTTTCTGGAGATATGTGCCAATATCTGAACACTTATCTTCACACTTTAAGGAGTATCTTCCTTAAATTTAAAAGCCTTCTTATGTTTCTCTCCCAGAGTAAAGAAGCCAGCAACTAAGAGGGAACCAGTTTCCTGCCTTTCTTCTGACTCTGAAAGTCAGAGTTTGCTGTTTCAGTTTGCATAAGAGTTTGCTGTTTCAGTTTGCTTAAGTTATAAGTAGCATTCCATCCTATTGACAAAAGCCCTTTTTCTTCAAACTGCATATTGTCAGTTAATTCTGAATGAACCTAGCTTATTCTGCTCCTTGGGAAGTATCACCTGTTAATTCCTCTTTTGCTATTTTTAAAAGAAAAATGTGAGTTAACATGAGGGTAAGCCATCAGATGAACCTACATAAAATCTTAAAGTGTTGGAAATTTTTCTACTTTCCACAGCACATGAAAATATGTGATGATACTTTTATTACTATCCATCAGATGATTCTCTAAAGCCAAATTACAAATACGATGCAAATCTTAATTTGGGGTACTTTATAATATTATTACAAGTAAACCAATACATGTGATAAGTATTTTTTTATGAAATCATATAATCCTAGACTTACTTTCTAATACTAGTAGGTTAATCCTTTTGGCAAAGTGAGTCAAATTTATTTCCTGACAAAATTAACTCGGAAAGTTTCCACCATCTACAGTAACTGTTGATTTAATCAATAAATAATTTCTCAATGCCTACTCTATACCAGACATTGTTCTAGGCACTAAAGATAGTGAAGGAAAAAAAACAGATTACCAACCAGGAGAGAGGCAGATATTAGCAAGCAGTTCGCAAGTAATTACTTATTTTTTAAAATTATTTTTTTATTATTATGTTCAGTTAGCTACTGTGTAGTACATAATTAGTCCTTGATGCAGTGTGCAACGATTCATTAGTTAAGTATAACACCCAGTGCTCATCACAGCACGTGCCCTCCTCGGTACCCAGCACCCTGTTACCCCCTCCCCCCACCCCACAAGTAATTATTTAAATGACAACTGAGGTATGGCTAGATACTGACCCCAGTCCGGAAGGACAGGGAGCTTCTCTGAAGAATCTGGGAGAATTCTCAGAGAACTCCACTGAAGTGTAACCAGATGAGAGAGGGTGAAATGAAAAACATTCTGGGCAGAGGAGAAAGCATTTGCAAAGATTCTGAGGTGAGAATGGGAACTATACACAGAAGAACTGAGGCTGCTGATAGGAGTAAAGCTGGAAACAGTAATAGCTCATCTCGGCAGCATGCCTACTGTACGCATGAACTCACAGTCCTCCCCAGCACTGGACCCAGGCAATGTTACTCGAATTCTATAGCTAAGGACACAGAGGCTTAGAGAGGTCAACTTGTCCAAGGTCTCAAAGCTGGAAGGTGGCAAGCCAGGGTTTGGTCTAGGCAGTCTGCTGCCTGGGTCCTTATTCTGGAATATAAGCTGCAAGAACTTCCCAGGAGCAGGTGAACGTGGAGCTTTCCTCACGTTCAAGATTCAGTCTGTCAACTTTCATTTTCCACAGAATGGCATCATGAAATAGAGATGCATTAGAATAGCTTCAGTCTCATTCCCAGAGTCTTGATAAATATACGGTTCCGGTTGGAACCTATTTTGTTAGGAAATATTACACGGAATTTTTTTTTTAAGATTTTATTTATTTATTTGACAGAGAGAGAGACAGCGAGAGAGGGAACACAAGCAGGGGGAGTGGGAGAGGGAGAAGCAGGCTTCCCGCCGAGCAGGGAGCCCGATGCGGGGCTCGATCCCAGGACCTGGGATCATGACCTGAGCCAAAGGCAGACGCTTAATGCCTGAGCCATCCAGGTGCCCCCGGAATTTTTTTATTACAAAAATGTTAATAGAAGTCCATATGTTAATATAACAAATGCCTGTGAGCCCATTAACCAAGATAACCATATCTTCTCAGGGATTTTTTTTTTTTAAATACACATTTATGTTCCCCTCCCTATCCCTGTTCCTCTTCTCCCAGGGACAACCACTATCATGAATTTGATAGAGAGCCAGTCCACTTTTTATTCACAGGCATACGTATGCATGCACACACATTCATAAACATTATATGGTATATGATATCATTCTAAGTAATGTTTAACATTTACATAACAAATATATAATATTCTGAAATTTGTGTTTTTTTTGTTTTTGTTTTTGTTTTTTTTTAAGATTTTATTTATTTATTTGAGAGAGAGAGAGAATGAGAGATAGAGAGCACAAGAGGGAAGAGGGTCAGAGGGAGAAGCAGACTCCCTGCTGAGCAGGGAGCCCGATGTGGGACTCGATCCCGGGACTCCAGGATCATGACCTGAGCCGAAGGCAGTGGCTTAACCAACTGAGCCACCCAGGCGCCCCTGAAAT